TTTTGTAGAACTCTCAACATAAGGAACAAAAGGAAACTGAAGAAAAAAGTGCTTTCAGCTCTGCAGATGGATAAAGTGCACATATAGGGTTTTTTTCCTTTGGCCTGACAACTCGAACATTTTGGACGGTGAAATAATTTTGTTACCTTGAAAGAGATTAAAAAAAAACCCAAAAACGTTTGTTGAATGACACCGTAGAACATCTGTACAGACAGTACCAGAACAGTTCAAACATTTGTTTAACAAGATTTTGGCAGCGGAAGCTATTTGATAATCAGATCAAAACACTTGTGCGTGCAAGATTTGTGGTAACTCAAGAGTTGACAGCTGATGCATTGTTTATGCATCGTGTTCATCTAAAGGTTATTCTGGCCAAAACATGCATGCACGGATCGAGTGATCTTAGAAACCCAGTCCCACTACTAAACATCACCATCGACGGGACACAACTTAAACCAGTTGAGGAATTTAAATAGCTTGGGAGTATGCTTACATATGACGGAAGATTGGACATAGGAAAAGTGAAATCAGGACCCAAAAGCAAATACAGAAACTTACAAATCGTCAGCACTACTCACCCATAAACACCTACCAATGGAAGTAAAAAGACAACGACTTATTCACAGCATATTCCTTCCAACACTGACTTCCGATATAAAACAGGAAGACTGATAAACGAAATTTGACAGGGAATAAACCGGTTATGGAACAAGAACATCAAAGGATGAAGTGGTTTGGTCATCTGATGAGAGTGTCACCAAATCACCCAGCTTCACAAGCTTACAACTCTAATATGTCCGGATACAAGGGCAGGTGCAGACCACGCAATACTAGGCTGGATAGCGTTATAGAGGTCCTCCGAAAGAATAACATGTCAACAACAGAAGCCACCTACACTGCCCTTGATTGAAAATTGTACTCCCCCCCTCTCCCCCAACATCTAATGATGCAAGAGGAAGGATGAAGCTAGGATCCAATCCTAGCATACTCTGAAGACATGAGACTCACTGCAACGTGGCAGAAATGGGTAGTAATGAAAGAAAATAGAAATCCCGAACGGCGAACAAATGAAAATAAGAATCAGTAGGAAGAGAACAGAAACTGGGAGGCTGGTGCCATTGTGGGCTTTATTCCAGAAAACGTTTCGACAGTACAAGTTATACGATTCTAATATTGACCATTAGTTTAAGGAAAGACATGGAGCAACCTTCAAGCCAATGAAGCAAGAGTACATGAGTACATGCTAAC